CGGGCCGGGCAGGGGCCGGGCGAGCTGTGCTCCCGCTGCCCGTGAGGAGGGCAGGTGGGAAGCTGACTGTGTCCGCCGGCGGCAGGGGACGAGGCATGGGAAGCGGGAAAAATAGCCAAAAACCCCCTCATCTCCTCTGGGGCCGGCCGTCTTCAGGCCCGCGGGCTGGGTGTTGGGCTGGTGGCTCACGGAGAGTCACCAAAACCGTGATTTATAAGTAATAAATCTGTGTTGGTTATAGGGAGGAGGCAAGGCACTGCTGGGAATCGGGACGGACGTATAGCTCCGGCCAAGCTATAGGTCCGGGAGTGCCCCACTGCGAGGTCACCTGGGAGCAGCACCGGGTGCAGCTCAGGTGTCCCGGGGGAGCCAGGGGAGCGGAGTGGAGACGGCCCGGGGTGGGGCGTGACAGCAGAGGCGGCTGCAGGACGTCGCCCTCCTTCACCGTGGCTTTCCAATTTCTGTGTTTCTCGGTCCCCGTGTGTGCAGCCACAGAGTTCTGGGAAGAAATCTTGGCCTTTGGGGTCCTGCAGGAGAAGGTGCTCTTCGGGATGCCCCTCCTCTGGGGAGCAGGGGCGCCTTTCGGGTGCTCTGCCGTGACTCTGTTTTGCTTTTGGCCTCGTGAGTTAGAAAGGAAGCAATGATATTTATTTTTTCCTGCTGCAGCGACACAGATCCCACACCCCTGTGGATCAGATGTCGTGAACCGTTTCTGGGCTGAGCTGGTTTTTCAGGTGAGTAGGGCCATGGGGTGAGACGGTGCCCGGTCTGGCGCTGCCGCAGCACTGAAAGCGCGGCTGGTGGTGCTGGCTCTGCAGGGCTTGGTTTTTCTGCACCCCTGCTCACCGGGGTCGAGCAGAGCGGAGCCACCCACGGTTCCTACCAGGATGTGGCTTTTCTCTCGCCGTGAAGCTGAGCAAGCAGCAGCTGCTGTGAACGACTTTTTTTGGACAAAGTGTGTTTATAACGTGGAGGTAAAGGTGAATTGTTTACTTCAGCCTTTGCTTTCAAACCTAGCTCCTGTGAAAGTCCCAGGGGAGCGTTGCAACCAGTCCTTGGGACCAGAGCTGTGTTTCAAGGGAGAATAAAACACAAACAACTCTCCTGCAATGGTTTGGGTTGCAACTCCCCAGAGTGGTTACGCTTGGTGGGTGAAAACGAGCAGGAGGCATTTGCCAGGCTGCTGTGTCCTGCAGTCAGCGTGAGAGAGACGAGACGACGAGAAAACAGGAAGCCTTGGTTGGGGTTATAAAAACTCCTTTAGGTCAAAAAAAGTAATCTAAAAGGAATAATGGTAATTAATTACATCTGAATGTAATTATCTGTTGAGGTTGCTTTTTCTGGCTGGGTCTTCAGCTTTCTCTGAGCCCCTCTGTGTGCTGCATTCCTGTTATTCCATCGTAAGTGCTTCCTGCAATTAATTACATCTGAGTGTGTTGAGGATGCTTTTTCTGGCTGGGTCTTCAGCTTTCTCTGAGCCCCTCTGTGTGCTCGGATCCCGATTCAGGGCTCAGCTCTGAACCAGCGTGGTCCTCGTTTAGGTCATTAAAGGCCTGGGCTTCTAGACTTTTTGACAAAGGAGCTGCCCTGGTCACAATGTCTGGTCTGGTATCTATAAAAAATTATTTGATTATGGTCCCCTAATCCCAGTGCTGTGTATCTGTTCCTCTGTTGGGTGATGCGGGCTCCCGGGGTGGTTTTCGGTCTCTCCTGGATGCAAGGCTGGATGTGAGCGGTGTAGCTGGTTCTGGGGAGATGAGGACAGTGCCTTTCTGTCCCCCCTCCATAACCACCTCATTCCCAAGAGGCGCTGAGGCAGTGCAATTTGTACCTGGTGACCAATTGGAACAGGCTGATGCAACGTGGGACTAATATACAGGAGGTTTTGGAGGGGGCTCCGCTGTCTTTAAGCTTCACGCATAGGAGGAATAGGAAGTGGGTGTGTTTTGCTGCAAATAAATAGCTTTAGAGAGCGATTACTTGTCCGAGTGCTAGCTTAACTCCCCTCCTTTTTATTCTCTCCTCTTGCCACTAGTGCATCAGGAAGCGTGGAGCACCAAGCGTCCGTCATGTCCGACTGGGTGCTCCTCGGGCTGATCGCGGCGCTGGTCATGCTGCTGCTGCTGACCATCTTCGGTTTCGTTGTCTACTCGGGGCTCTTCACGGAGGTGGTTGTGAGTGCTGGCTCCCCGCCTGTCGGCAGCATCACGCTGGCCTACAAGTTCAGGGTGGGCCCATATGGTGAATCTGGGCAGCTCTTCACGGACGGCTGCAGCATCTCTTCGAAGCTCTGCTCCATCGGCGTCTACTACGACAACCCTCACACGGTAAGGTGTGCCCAGTGGGGCCGGCAAGCTCTTGTGGTCAGCAGCCAGGTTCCCAGCTCGGGATGCTCCCTGACTGTATTTCAGGCACTTGCAGCTCATCCTCCACAGATGAGCACTGGGGTTCACAAGGTCTCCCAGATCTGCAGAGGATGCTCTGTGGGGAAAGGCGCCTGAAAACAGATAGTTTCTTGGATAACCCTGATGGAAGGCATTGGGCAAGCAAAGCTTGCTATTTTCTGATAGCTCCTGCTGAACAAGTTATCAGCAGGATAACGGATCTGGTTATGGAGCAGAGGCCAATGTCCATGACCCCAAGGTGAGGCATTCCTTGGCAGATCCTCTGGCTGCAGGAAGTGCAGCCAAGGCTCCTTCTGGACTTGCAGCTCTGTGGTTGAAAGCAGGTGGTCTCTTCAGCTTGCAGTGTCCTCCTCCATACTCTTGTTTCTAGTGCTCTCCCTGTAGTCCTTACATCCCCTGAGAGTTCTTACTGAAACCTCAGGTGGTGCATGCTGAGGGCTCCTGTCTGATGAAACAGTTACTCCATGATGCTCTTCAGGCTGAGAGGCGAACAGAAAGTGCACTGCCTGATGGCTGCCAGCCGGAGCTAAGTACTCCGCCAGGTATGGTCCAGGACAAGGAGCAAACAAAAGTGCATCAGAACTTGCTGGGGGGTGAGGAGCCTGGCTGCTGATGCTCGGTGGCACTGGGGTCTCCACATGATGGCATGTGGGCATTTGTCCGTGGCAGGCAGACAGCCTGGCTCCCCAGTAATTCTGTGGTAGCTAGTGTGACCCTGGAGGAATGCTGTGGGGGGGAGGGACGGCGGGGTGGCCAGCAGCACTGTGCGTGTGCTTGGGCACGTGTGCTGGGGGCTGGCGCAGGGCGCAGTGCTTGGTCTGATAGCTCTCGCCCAGTGCTTCTGCTCTGGGGGTGACTGGCCCTGCTTTAGGAACGCTCATGGGTCGCGTAGTGCCTGCCCCTGTTTTGTTGCTTGCAAGACGGTGCTCCCAAGGGTTCGACCTGCTTAGAGGGAACTTGTCCATGAAAACATAGTGCTGTGTGGCTTCTTGGAGCACTGTGGCAGGAAGATATCGGAGGCGAGAAAACACTGAGCTGACTGTGCTCAGTGGAGCCTGGTGCGCTCAACCACCTTGTGTCTTTGTATCCTGTGACAAGCTGACTTATCTTTGCCTTCCAGTTTTTGCTTCTGGATCATGGGAGGCAGAGAAGAGACACCCTGCAGTGCTCCTTCCTGGCCTGGGAAGGAGGGTGGCAAAGAGGACTTCCCCCTGGGATGGGCCGGGCAGAGGCAGGGTTCAACTAGACGTGCTTGGACACTTTTGTCCGCAAGAAGTGTCATGTTTGGAGCGGGTGAGAGATGGGAGCCATGGGGAGTGCCTGGCATGCTAGGGCCCATGTGGTCAGAGTGGCCAATTCCCCCGCCACTAATTTGTGTCCTTGTCCTTGTGTCGAGGTCCTCTTCTGGAGTTGAGAGCCCCGGTGCTGCTGCTTCTTCCCCCGGCATCTCTGGGGGTGGAGCGGGGCAGTCAGTGCTGTCGGAAGGGCTCAGCATCTGTGCTTGGTGCTGCCCTGCTCCAGGGACGTGATGTGGACATGCCTGTGGTTGCCCTGCAGACCTTTTCTGCTTGGGTGCTGTGCCTTGCCTCTCTGTTTGCCGAAGCATGGGATAGTGAAAGCTTGTACTGCTGTGGCCCATGGATATTGATAAGGATATTTGTGGTGACTCCTGCTGTGGCTGGCATGGGGAGTGCTTTCCCTGGCAGCACCAGGTGAGGCTGGGAAGAAGTGGCTCCTACATGACCCTGGAAAATTGGGCTGTCCATGCAGGCTGAAGCTGCCTCATCTTTCTGGTCCTGTCTCTTTTCTTCTCTTCCTGCAGCCATTGTGTCTCTGCTCTCACCCTGTGGTTAGAGCAGGCAGTGGGGCTGCAGACCTTGTCTCTGGGTCTCCAGTGGCCATCCAGGGTTTTGGAAGGCAGCTGTTTCTCCTTTCACAGTTGGGCCTCTCAGGAGGCAAGACCTTCTGTGCCAGCATGGCTGAATGGCACCTGGTGGCCAAGGAGGCCTGTCTTGGTGTCGGTGACTGGGGGAGGTTTCTCTGGATTCAGGGCCCAGCTGGTTGAGGCAGCTTGTGGCCTGCTGTTGTCAAGGCTCACCAGGACCTCTGCCTGGTGGCCCAGCTCATTGCCCAGCCTAGACTGGAGCATGTTACTGGGTCTGGAGGCCCTCTTTTGCCCCCCTGCTGAGGGGTCTGTACTTGCTTGCCCGCGGACTGGCCACTGATCTGGCGTGGGGTGCGAGTGCCTTCAGCTGGGGTGCGAGGGGAGCTCCCTACATGGGGCAGGATACTGTGGGGCCCTCGTGAAGGATGGTAGTGAGTTTGTGTGGGTCTGTAGATGTTTTGGAGGGTGCATGGCCCCAAGTCTGTGGGGCAGGCTGGGAGATCCTGGTGGTGACACTGGGCAGGGGAATTGCCTCCCTCTGGGAGCCTGCTGGACGGGTGGTGCTCAGGATGGGCACAGCGAAGGCTCTGGGTGCTGCACGTGTGTGGAGTGAGCCTGGAGGGTGCTGGAAGCTCTTGGGGACCAACAAAGCCTATAAAGCATCTCTGCGACCAGGCATCCCAAGCTCTGGAGGCCGTGCAGTTGGCTCTTGTGACGGGAGCCTAACCTGCCCTCAAAGGCTTGGCAGGCAGCCCCGCAGACCTTGCCCTTCTCTGGAAGAGCTGCCTTTGCTCATGACATTGGGCAGGTGACATTGGCCCGAGCCTCCTGCCTCCATAGGCGCTGTGGTGGCTGGGGCACAGCGAGGCCATGCAGGATGTAGCTGTGGTGCCTGGGGCTCCACACGGCAGCGGGAGCCTCCTCTCGCCTGACACCCGTGAGCACACCATCAGACCTGGGTCTGCCAGAGCAGCCAGGGTGCTGGTGGGACCTTCCATGGGCTGATCTGTGGCTCCTGAATTGGTTCCTGTGGAGATCCGCGTCTCCCTGACAGGCACGCCAGGCCAGGCAGGGTGCTGGGAGTGAGAATGTCCTTGGGCAGGGTGGGCAGAGGGCTGCCTTGCCTCCGGGCAGGTGAAGAAGGGGCCAGTTTTGAGTGGGTCGCTTGGCCGGGGGCTGCAATGCTCGTGCCTGTCGTGCTGGCTCAGGCACTGAGCACCCTGGTGTCCCGTGGGGTGCCCCTGTGTGCTTGTGCCTGCTGTAGCCATGGTGGCATGGGAGATGGTGTGCGCTGCTGGCTCCTCGTTCCTGGAGGTCCAGCGGGGTGGGATTGGTCACACAGGCTGCCTTTCCCCTGGGAGGAAGAGATGACCTCCTCCTCTTCCTCCTCGTTCTCAGTGCTCTCCTGACCTCAGTGAAGCACCCTCTGGCAGAGGCTGGTCCGCCCGGAGCTGGCCACCCGCTGTGGATGTTGACTTGTCACCAAAAATAGACCTTTTGTCATCAGGCAGCAGAACGTGCTCGCTGCCCGCTGTGTCCTGTGGTGTCCCTGGCTGAGCGCTGGCGGGCTCTGGCCAGACAGCCGCCTCGAGACCGGCTCTTAGCCGCTGGCTCCTGGGGGGTTTGGTGCCCCTGGTGCTGCAGCAGGAAGGGGCTGATGACCGGCAGGTGCCAGTGCAGCATTTGCTGTGCTGGCGGACTCATGGCCAAAGGAGGCTCTTGCTAGGAGAGAGGACAGGTATGCCAGAGCTGGAGACTCGCGGCCGTGTGCCAGCTCTCGGCCGGGAGTGGGGTTGGTGGGAGCCTTGTGGCCTGGAGCGTGTGGGCAGCCATGGGGTCGTGCCGGGCCTCGGGGCGGCTGCCATCACCGGCATCCCCGGGGCTCCCTGCTGGCTCCTGGCTCTCCGGCATTCACACAAGGGTGCTCCCTGAGTGCTGCCAAATCCCTGCCAGCAATGTTTTATGTGTTTTAATGGGCAAGATTAATATTAATTTGCTTTTTTTTTTGTTGCTTTTTTTTTTTCTTTTTCCTTTTTATTTAATATTTAGCAGCCCAGAGGACTTCTCCCTCCTTCTTCTCACCTCTGCAGGAACAAAAATAACTCCTCAGCAAGGACTGGATGTGGCGGGCGGGTTTGTGCCAGCCAAGCGCTTCTGCTCTCTGCTCATTTATTTGTTTTAATGGGCAAGATTAATATTAATTTGCTTTTTTTTTTTCTTTTTCCTTTTTATTTAATATTTAGCAGCCCAGAGGACTTCTCCCTCCTTCTCTCACCTCTGGCAGGAACAAAAATAACTCCTCAGCAAGGACTGGATGTGGCGGGCGGGTTTGTGCTCAGCTCCAGCCAAGCGCTTCTGCTCACATTTAGCTGTAGGCACGTGCTAGGGCCTTTTGCCTGCAGTCCACATGTTCATGTGCTCAGCAACCAGCCTGTGCCCAAGCGTTGGATGGATGAGGCCAAAACGGTCTCTGAATTCAGGAATCAGTTTTGCTCCCGTCTGCAAAGCTGCCAAATAGGTTAACTAATAATTTCCAGAACTTCTCTGTCAGGGTGCTTAGGGGAGCAGAGGCTTTGATCAGCACCTGCCCACCCCGAAAGGACAAATTTTTTAGGGAAAGGCTGGTTTTAACTGGAGTATTTCCTTCCTTCCCTTGAAATGGGCTTTGCCAGGCAGGGGGGGAGGCAAATCTGCCTTGCTGCTGCCCTTGAGAAAGCTCCTGCGGGGCTGCACGCTATGAAAAAGAAAATTAAAAGGAGAAGGGAGGAAGCAAACGTGCCTGGCCCGAGTGGTGCTGCCTGCTCTGGCAGCTTGGGTCCTTCCGTCAGTTGCTCTGGGGCCAGGGGTGAACTGTCTTTGCTCAGGATGTAAAAGGAGATTGTGTGTTTAAAGGAATTTTATCTAGATTTCACTTATCTCCTTGCGTCATCTGGGCCTTTCCCCACGGATGCCTTTTACTGCTGCCTCTTGCTGTCTTTGGGGTGGATCTGTTTCTTCTTCCCTGCCCCAAAGCAGCGATGCTCGGCACAGCCCTGTCTGCAGCTCCCTCTTGCAGCACAGGAGGGCAAGAGCGAGCTGTCAGGCACACCAGTCCCCAGCCTGATGGCTGCTGCTGCTTCTGACAGTCTGTTTTCTTCCTTCCTATTTACATCTGCTTGTGTTTCCCCTCCGGGATGGTCCTGCCGTGCAACATTAAAGGGTGTTTAAGGGAAGGGAGGGCAAGGAGTGCAGCGTGGGGTAGTTATGCTGCGGGAGGAGACATTGCTGAGCTTTAGCACAGGCAAAGTTAAGGATGAGATTGGGGACCACAGAGCAGAGATCGCCTTGGGGGGCACATGGGGATGGGAAGTGGTAACATGCTGGCCTTGTATGCACCCTTTCTCTGCCTCCCATCGTCCCTGCGAGAGCTTTGTGATGCCAACGCCTGCAGGGTATCCATCTGTCTTGCTACCGCTGTTGGGCATCCTGGCAGGTCCTGGTGAGTTTTGCCACCTTGTGTAGCGAGAGTTTGGAGACTTTGGTTCTCCAGCCCTCAGCAGAAGAGGTTGGCAGAAGGTGGCCAGACTCGTGTATCTGCCGCTCCTGGTTGCTGGCTGCCACATTGTCTTGTTATCCAGCAGGCTTGAGAGCAGGTGGCAGGGAAGCACGAACACTCAGATGGTGCCCCCTTCCTTGGTGCCTCTGTACCCCCTATTCTTCCTGGGCTCCTTTTTTAGGCCAGTGTGCCCTGGGGGAAGGAGCCTTGTCTCTGCCTGCTGGCCCCTTCTTTGGGCATCTCTTTGGGGGCGGAAAGGACAGCAGCTCTGCTGGGGACAAAGGCTTGCGTTAAAAGAGTGAGCTGGGCTCCGATCTCAGCAGTAGGAAGGCACGTTGTGCCCTTAGGTGGTATTGGGAGGGGGGAGCTGCTGGGCTCTCCTGCCCCCTGCCATGTTCCTGCCTAGTGCCGTGGGTAAACGTGAACTCGAGTGGTGGGATTTTGTTAAAAACCAGAAATGAAAGCTGTGGCCTGGGTCAGCTTTGGCGTGGAGATGGCCGGAGTGCTGTGGGCCATAACTGTGCCGGGAGCAGAGCCTTGAGCACCCCCCTTGCTGGGCTGGGAGCCCGGCAGCCTCCTGTCTTAATGGGAGGCATCCCCAAGTCTGGAAAGAGAGCATGTTTTATGTTTTGCATGTTGTTGGCATCCAGGATGGAAGGGGATGTGTGTCTCTTTGTGTTGCTACAAACAGCTTGGTGACTGCATGCAAGTCTTATGTGCCTCAGTTTCCCCACCCCTAAAACTGCACCGGACTGAGTGTGCCTGCCTAGGAGGGACACAGCAGCCTCTGGATTTCTCTCTGGCTTTGTGCCGGTGGCCCGTGCTGGTGGGTCACGAGTCCATGGTGGCTGCTGGGGGCAGGCACCCCTGCAGGGTGACCTCCTTGGGGGTGGGATGGAGGCAAGCTGGGCAGGTTGTGGTCACATCTCTTTTTAGCCCTCCCCTGGAGTCACGGGGATGTCCTGCAGATGGGGATGGTCGTGAGCACGTCTCAACAGTCGGGTCTCTGATGGGGGGTCAGGAGAGACACTGCAGTGGCTGCCACCCGGGGCGGGTTTAGGTGAGCAGCCTGCTGGCGTTTAGTTCTTCTCTGCTGCAAGTCCCTCTGCCCTCCAAGGAGGGGAGCAGTACCTTCCCCACTGGGCTGTGAGCTTAGGCTGGGAGGAGCGTGGACAGTTTGGGCCTGGATCAGTCTTGGTTAGGAGCGAGCACCTGGGTTTGGTATGCCAGATCATGCTGGGCCATTGCATTTACCCTAGTTCATGGTGGTCTCCTGCCTCCATGCTCAGCAGGTTGAGGTTTTGGCCGGTCTTAAGCCTCTCTCTTCTTCTGACACTGTCTGTCTGTCCCTCTTGATCAGGTGGCTCCAGAGAAGTGCCGCTTTGCCATAGGCCGAATCCTGAGTGAGGGAGACGCAAAGCCGTCGGAAGAGCAGATCAAGCGGTTTCAGAAGTATGGTTTCAAAATCTTCTCCTTCCCTGCTCCCAGCCATGTGGTCATGGCGACCTTCCCGTTCACCACGCCGTTGTCCATCCATCTAGCAGTTAACCGTGTCCACCCAGCCCTTGACACCTACATCAAGGTAAGCAAGTGTAGCATGAAGACCGTCGCATGTGTTCGGTGGACTGTCAGAGGCTTCCCTTGCTGACAGCCGATGAGGCTGCTCTGACGTGTCATCTCTTGATGTCTTCCCTTGGGCACTACCATCAAGATCTCCTCCTTTTGCAATCTGGCAGGTAGTTCCCCAGCAGGGATGTCCTCCCATTCGCTCCGTAGGCACAGGGGTGTCTTTTCTGCTGTTTTGTGTTTATGAGAAGCAAGTTCTCATCTGACGACTTGCTGCTCTTCTCCTTAACGCAGAGATAAAAGCTGGTTTTCCCCTTGAGTGTCTTGCTTGTTGTTAGGATCTGGCAGGTTTGTGCCCCTTCGGTGTAATGCATCGTGCCATGAAACTTCTGTTTCAAGTGCCAGCCTCATCAGTGGGGCAACTGTCTTCTACAGGGGCGGGAGGAGAAGTTAGAAACTTTCTGTCCTGTGAGCTTATGAAGACTTAGTTTCAAGCAATACATTGAAATTTGTGGCCTTTGGCCCTGGCTGGGCAGCCGGCTGCTGTGAACTGTGTTTGCCCTTGCCCCCGAGCAGAGCAGGTGGCCATCCCCCCTGCTTCTGGTCTTTTTGAAGCCAGCTCTGCTGCCTTGCTCTGGCTGCCAGACCAGCTGCGGCAAGAGTGTTCCCAAGCAGCACATCTGACACAGACACCTCCAGATGCAGGCTTTCTAGAGAGCGAGGATGGTCCTGGCCAGCTGGGCAATGGAAGGAAGGGACCATCCTTCCTGGTGGGGGAGGATGCTGGGGAGGGGCCGGCGCTCAGCCCCAGGCTTATCTGACTGTCAAGTTCTGCCACTTTCATTTGTTCGTGTTGAAACGCACTATTTATAAACTTGCTTTTCCTGGCGAAACTCCCAGCCCTGTGGGGGAACCGTGCGAATCCCTCCAGCCTGTGCTGTGCCGCAGGATGGCTGCCCGGGTGCAAGCCCAGAACTTCAGCCAGGGGCTCCTGGCTGACCCTCTTGTCCGCCCTGGCCTTAGGGAGCTGCCTGCTGGTACTGGCAGAAGATGCGTTAACGCCAGCAGTGAGAGACCACCGCTGCTCGTGCCCTGCCCCATGCTGGAGAGCTGGTGGAGAGCAGAAGCAGTTCCCCGTTCTCCTCGCTCCATCCTCTCTATGTCTCTTCCTGGAGCTCTGCCGGCTCTCTTGGTGCGGGGGGTATCGGGCACTGTTGCCAGCCCTGCGGCGGACGCGTGGGTGTGCAGGGAGGGGGCTGGCGCGGGTGGGAGCATCAGGTTGGCTGCGGGAGTGCTCGGCGACACGGGGCTGACGCTGCCTTACTTGGGGGAAGGTCCCGGCGATCGCATCTGTTGTATGAGAGATGGAGTTGTTAGAGCTAAAAAGGGAACCACGGCTTGTTCTGGGAGCACCTGGCAGCCTTTAATGGGAGCGGCCGATTTTGAATTACAATAAATAACGGAAATTGTACAGAAACGCAGCACTCGGGGCCGCGTGCGGAGGGACGGGACGCATTTGGATCTCTGCCTCAGTCCCAACAACGCGTGTGTCAAGGTGCGTGCCTGCATCCATCCCCAAGTCCTGCAGCAGAGCGCAGCCCTGGCCGTGGGGACACAGGCAGGGAGACGATGGAGTTGCCTTGCTGGCATGGGGCAGAGGGTAGTGGGTGCTGCCGGTCCCTGCATGCTGCACTGTGGGGATGCCCTGGCTTCCTCCAACGTGGCGTGGGGGACTTTGGAGGCCGTTTGCAGCTGCACCAGCAGCATCCCTGCCGCTTCTCCTGCATCCCTGCCACTTCTCCTGCGGGCTGGACTGCCTGCGCCCCTGGGGCTGTGCTGGCACTTCCCGGGCGGAGGGATGGGGAGGGAGGGGGGGAAACTTTCATGGAAACAGGTGACCTATGCCCGCTCAGTGGTGGGAATCGGGGTTGCCATGGAGACAGCTTCTCCAAATAGCATCCTTCATCCCACCCCCGGCGCCCGGCTCCCTTAAGCAACCCGAGACAGCAGCGAGACAGATTTGCTTTATTTATTTATTTCACACTGTGCCTGCTTTGAGAAGGGCACTGTTAATGAGAGCTGGGGGTCAGGCCTGCCGAGTGCGCGGGTCCCCCCGCTGCCCTCCTGTCCCGGCGGCAGTGGGGAGAAAGGGGGTGGGATGGCAAAAGCCAGGAGGCATGAAAGGGGGCTCAGTGGCAGAGATGAAACGCCAGCTCCCGTGGAGAGAGGGAATTAGCTGAAGTGGAGCATGGCCTCCAAGGAGGTGTGGGAGAGCAGGGGATGGAGAGGGAGGTGGAGGAGGCAGGGAGAGGGGTGGAAGGTGAGGAGGGAAAGTGGAGAAAGCTTTGGAGGTGTTGAAAAATAGGGAAGGGGAATGGGAGGAGAAGGGGACTGGAGGGGATGTGTGGGGTGAAGGAGCTGAGGGTTTGGGGACCGGCTGAGGGAGCCAGGACTGTGAGAGGTGGTGGGGAAGTCTGGGGCAGAGCTGGAGGAAGCTCCACCGTGGGTGGCCCTACAGCACCCTTCCCGTGGCATCCCCTGAGCTTAACTGTTGGGGACGTTGGGCCCCTGAGGCTCAAGGCTGGTGGACGTGGAGGGGGAGCGTGGCTCCCTCTAGACTCGCTGGTGCTGCGCTGAAGTTACCGGAGATGCCTGTGGCTCAGGTTTCCCGAGCAGTGCAGGTGCGATGGTGCCAGCTTTCAGCAGCCTGGGCGTCGTGTGTCCCAGTCTGCTGCTGCTTCAGAGGGACAGGGGAGATTAAAAATAAAATTTATAACAATAATTAAAAAAATAAATAGGATGGCGGAGTCTCCTTTCATTAGGGACGGAAGGGAGATGGGCTGGCACGGAGCAGGAGGCACTGCGGTCAGGCTGCCCTCGCAGTGTGCCTCCTCAACCCCCTGGTTCTTGTGGGGCTCAGGAGCTGGCATTTCTGTGACTCTTTGGGTGCAGCCATGGCTTTCGGGAACTGTGGGGAAATGGCTGCAGCCGTCCCTGGCAGGTAAGAGGACATCCTTCCCCTGGGATGGCAGGCTGGCAGCAGCAGCTACTTGCTGGCTAGAATCGCCTTTGGAGAAGCCCAGGAGAGCCTGCTGGCTCGTTGCTCTGAGTGTGGGTTATTTAAGGCATAGGCTGGGGTTATTTAGTGTCCCTCAAAAGCATTTCGTCCCTAATAACTCCTGCTGATGCCTCTTCCTGCTGCCAGGCAGATATGCCCCGCTTTCCCGGGGCATACACTCCTGCCCCACGGCACAGCTGCCGGTCAGACCTGGCGGTCCCAACTCCTGGGTGCAAAGGAGAGCTCCTGCAAAGCTCTTCCCTGGTGGGGACCCTTTCGGACCGCTCTGGGAGCAGGTTATTCCCCTGTAACCTCCCGCCATTTCAAGGAATTCTGGCTTGGGTGTAACAAGCTCTCCATGGTGGTCTGTGTGTGCCTGCATCTCTCTGCATCCATGCTGGCATCTAGTAGGCACTGCTAGGCAGGTGGGCTTGGATCTCCCAACCCCTGGGCTCCTCTGGCAGCCGCAGAGGTGGCTAATCGCATCCAAGGTGGAGCTGGCAGGTGTCTCCCACTGCAGCCCTAGAAGTGACTGGCTCAACCTGGCCTCTTTCCATGGGGTTTTGGGTCAGTTTTGTGCTCTCTCCAGCCAAGGAGGATGTGCAGGTGGAGGGATGAAGGAGGAGAGCGATGCCAGCATTGTCCTGGCTGCCTTGCACCCTGCTCTGAACCAGGGCATGAGCTGGCTGGCTCCAAACTCTGACTCTGCCTAACTTGGAAAACTGGGGTTTAATCTCTTTAGCTGGTCTTGAAAAGACATCTTCCAACTTTCAGCAAAAAAACCAGCTCTTTCCCTTCCCCTGGGCTCTGTACTAGGACGTTCCCCACCTCCATGGGCTTGTGAATCACTGCTTTACCATGCACATCTTGAGCAGCAGCGGCCGGCATGGGCTCCGTGATGCCAGGAAGGATTTGGGAGTCTATCAGGTTGGCTCCTGCCTGGCACGGGCTGCCACGCTCCTCCGCACCTCGGCCCCCCATCTACAGGGAGCTGAGGCAGGGTGCTCCATAAGGTGCTAGAAAGACATGTCTTGCTCCCATTTACAGCCAAGGAAATGCGTTATTCCTTTGGCCGCTAGCTTGGAGCGAGCTTTGCTCCCCTTGTCAGCTATGGCAGTTTAGGATGCAGTCACCTCTTGCCTCTCTCTTTGATAAGCTAAATATACAGAGCTTGCAAAGTCTTCCACTGGCATATTTTCCATATTTTCCAATCTTAATTCCTGGGTCCTTTTTTGGACCTTTTTTTGGACCTGTTTTCAGCTTAGAAAGTTCTCTGACGTGTCAGTAGCACAAATGGATGCTTTATTTCAGCAATGGTCTTATTGCTGTGGTGCACAGATCTCCGGTGGAGATCTTGTCCCCTGCTGCAGACCCCCGGTCATGGGTTTGTTCTGAGCCAGCTAACAGTGACTTCAAACACATGCCACTGTCCTTTGATGGACTTGTAGTTTCTTGATTAAAAATGGGAAATAGTAACAAGTCCTACGTCTTCTCTGAGTTTGAATGAATGGTGCGGGTGCTGGTTCATTTATCAGTCAAGCCTGCAATCCCCACAAAAATAAATCATGTTTACCAACAGGATCTGACAGCTGTAAACGTGTGTTGGTTGGCATTAATTATGCCCATCTCCTTTGCTTCCTGGTGATCTGGTCCGGTTGCAGCCATCCGTTTGTTTTGCCTTGGCTCAGTCTTTGCCTGACCAGCCTGTGCTTGCCCGAGTCAGCTATTTACCTATTTGAGTATTGGCAGGTACAGGCTGCTGTCTCTCCTGGGACTTTCTAGCATCTCCCGCTGGCCAGAGATCACCCTGACATGCAGACAGCTTGTCAGCCGGGACTTCAGCATGTTTTAAATGTATGTTATCTGGACCCGTGAGCCGTGTTATATCTTCCCATGGAAGAGCAAACATTTCACCCGCATCCTCTGCCCGTGTTTGGCTTTGTCCTAAACCCATTGCAGAAATACTCGCTGAACACTCCTCCCTTCTTGGTGGCGCCACCGAG